ACCACAGCCTTGCAGCCCACAGTTCCTTTCAAGGTGCATGAATTCATGCACTGGGCCCCTAGTATAGGATAAGGAAGCTCAAGCAAGCCCAATAGGTAGCACTATCTTGATGGGTTACTACATACAGATGTGTGGTCCAAATTAAAGGGCCAGAACTTTTTTACAATGGGCTTCTAGAGAATTATTCAAGCTAAACTTCTAGTTGCCTGGTAGAACTCAATATTAATTATATCTATTTCTTGGCTGCCAGAAATTTTAAAATTAGATCTGTGGGTCACACTTGGAGTTAAAATTATATTTCATTTGGTCAGTGCTGATGTAGACCATAGCCTCCTTGAATGTAGGGTCATTCTGGTCTTGATTTGCATGCTATTCTTAGCACCTAATGTGAATGATCAATAAGTGTGTTGAATGCATTATTGGTGAATGTCAAACAGACCCTTATAATCAGGGTACCTCCTTCCTGAAATATCATCAGAGGCCATGAAAAAAAACCCTTTGCTTTCTTGTTCTTCTACTTTTGTATTCCCAACTGACCAATTTCCTTTCTGTGTTGTTTTTAGCATCAATCAGGTTAAGATTAATACTTCAGTGTTTCCCAGTTTCAGATCTGCTAATATATCAATGCTTCCATCCTTTAAGCTCTAGTTTCTTGAATGGATTAAACTCTCTTCAATCTCCTTGGTCAAATAATTGCATTTTTTACCTTAGGGTGATATGCTGGGTAGTCTTTTGTCAACTCAGCATCATCCTTAGTATCAGCAAAGGCAGGAACTACATTTCCCAGAATCTCTTTCCCAATATGGGAAATGAGAGGCGCTTGCACAAAATTTAGAAGGCTGAACAGGAGGAGACCATTGTTTTCCAGAGTCAATTACAGGAAGATGTGTGGGCAGATAAAGGCCCAAAGCTGCTTCCAGATAAATTGCCTTTATGTTGCTTAGATAGCTGATGAGGGTGGACTCCCAGGGAAGCTAATGAAGTTGCAACTTCAGGGCTCCCTTCTGGCATGAACCCTTTCTAGGGTTCTGGGAGTGGCTTTAGCACTTTCGTATTCATCATTTTACTTATTTTTTCTGAAAGAGAGCTCTCTAAATTGCATACGCTTTAAGGCTCACAAAACTTGGCTCTAGTCCTGAATGGTTCAGAGCCTCCCAGGGATCTTGTGTCTCCAGGGACTTGAAGAGTGTTCCTGAAAACCAGTGGCTTAGGGTCTTGGATTAGGAATCTTCAGTGGAGCCTCTGACTTTCTCCTCCCCTGTCTGTCCAACATTTGTAGAAGCTCTAACTCCAAAAGTCACTAGGAACTGACTGGTTTTTGTTTTCATGACCGAACCAGTCAGTGCTTAAAAATGATTCTGTCAACAACTAGATTATGATTCTTCTTTTGTTCCACTTAATCTCCACTATAATAAATACCATTTCTTTACACTAGAAATAATAGGAAAACAATTCTTTAACATCACTTGGAAAAAGCCTTAGTGTAAGCTCCATCTTGATCAACACTGGATACTCAGTGTAGTGCTTTGTCTAGCACACAGTGTGTGCTTAGTAAATGTGTGCTAATGAGTGTGTGAATGAGTGAGTGAAGGAATGGATGACTTTATGAGCATTTGTATCCAAGTTGGTCTCTTGTTATGATTATTAAAACAATATAGATCGTGTTTGTTCTAACTAATTCTCTCTAGATTTATTTAGCCCAGTATCAAGAACTCCCAGCTGCTCAACTGCTTTTTTTTGGATGAAAATAAGTAGATTCGGGAGCCAGTCCAGCACAAATTCTAGGAAATTCCAGGATGCATCTGTAATTATGTTAGGGTCTTCCAGAGGTTGGAGGCCACACCTGTTATGAATTATTTTCCAAGGGTGAATATATACATACACACACATATATACACACACACACATATATATATATATACATACATTTATATATATACTATATAATAAAACCCTAATATGCAAATCGACCAAATGGCAGAATGACCAGTTGCTATGACATGCACTGAACACCAGGGGGCCGACGCTCAATGCAGTAGCTGCCCCCTGGTGGTCAGTGCACTCCCACACGGGGAGCACTGCTCAGCCAGAAGCCGTGCAGCAGTGGTGGCAGCAGCCTCTCCCACCTCCACTGCAGGTGGGCGGTAAGGAGCGAGGGGTCCAGGGCTGCAAGAGCCCTGGACTGAGAGAGGGATGTCTGACTGCCGGCTTAGGCGTGATCCTCAAGGGGAGAGTGGGGGGGAATTGGGCCTAAGCCGGCAGGTGGACATCCCCTGAGGGATCCTGGACTATGAGAGGGTGCAGGCCGGGCTGAGGGCCCCTCCCCGCCTCCAGTGCACAAATGTGCACCAGGCCTCTAATATATATATATTTTCACATACCCTCTCTTTGTTTTTCCTGCAATCCAATTCTGCATAGTAAATAGCAATGATAATTATTTTGTTGGATAGGAAAGTCAATGGCCAGTCCTCACGAGAATAAATCATGCTTTATAATGCAAATTAATGACTATAATCTTAAAAAAATTAAGAAGTAATTTAATCATGCTTAGAATTAGACCAGCATTTTAAAATTATTTTGAGTCCAGCATTTTTTAAGCACCACATATAAATAACATTCTGTATACTCTATATTGAAGTCAAACTAAAATATGACTTTAACATGTAGGAGTTTGTAATTTTAAAACTATTGAAGTGCATGGAAAAGTAAAAAATCCCATATTTTGCTATTCTTTTCTAAGAATTAATTTAATTAGTATTTTCCATGGCTGGAGTAAGAAAGTAATAATGCAGGATGATTTCATAATTATTGATAATGAATGTATTGATAAATAATTAAGTTTGGAACAATTTGGTCTTTTTGTTTGTTTTCATTTAGTAAGCATTTACTGTCCTCCAGCTCTATGCTAGATTCTGTGCTAACCAGTGGAAACATAATGAATTACACTTGATACCTACCCTCCTGAGGTAGGGCAGACAGCCACAGATAATTCCAGGGGGGAAAATAGGTAAATGGTTTGGGGAAATAGGGAAGGGAAAAAAAAGGAGCTTTTGTGAGACCAGACACTGGAGTTACATATGATAATCTCATCTACTTTCCATAGCACCTTTCAGAAACTCCCATGGAGGAAACCGACTCTTGAATACCTGGCCCAAGTTAACGCGGTTAATAAAGAGCAGCACTAGAAATGTATACCTACGTTTGCCTGGGCCCTAGAGGCAAAGACCAAATCATTCTGTATTACAGATAGTTCTTGGGTACAAGTTATAGTCCCTCTGGCATGTACATGGTTTAGCATAACCCAGTCCACTCTCTAAAGGCCATGTTGGCTCTTTCAACTGAGATAACGTTTATTGGGTGATTTGTCTCTGTACCTGTCATCCCTGAGGCTGAGGGCTCAGTTGCTTAAACTTTCACTAGATGGCCCAGGCAATTGGAGTCGAAGGGAGGATATGGATTTATTCAGGTTTTTGGTTTTTCTTTAAACTATATTATTTAAAACACTCATTAACAACTCATTATTAACAACTCATTATTAACAACTCATTATTTGTCTGTTAAATGGGTGTAAATTAATTCTCCGAGGGCTGGACTTCAATTTCCTCACCTGTGGGTGGTAGGTGAAATGATCCGTAAATGATCTTTCAGGAGTAAGTTGTCAGATAGTCTTAAGATTTTATCCGGTCAGTTCTTAATTGCTGTACCAAATAGTTTCCGGTGCCTGATCAACATGGAGTAAAAACAAGTGTTTGGGGGAGACAAGCGCGGCGTAATTTGGTTGCCCTGTTTTCCCCTCCCAAAGGTCAGTCTCAGGTGGCCCCGAGGTCGTGGGGAAGAGAGCCCTCCGGACCCTCTCCAACAAAGGGACAGCAGGACGCGCTCCTCCGAAACCCGCAGCGCGCCCTGCAAGCCTCA